TTAAAATATTAACTTATTCACTTTATAAAATGAACAAAAATAAAATATAATATAACACTATAGCAGAATAACCCTACTTCGTCGGTGAAAAAAATATGAATAATGAATATAACATACGGTGTTAGGTTTATCGTGGGATATCGGTCTATCTTGGATTTGATGTACCTCAATTCAGATATTATAGCTATTATTGGTGTATTTCCTAATGTGGTCCAAATTATTCCCTAGGGTTTCCTGATATCTTTTACTACTAAGAACAACTTCTGAATTTTTGACTTTTTTTTGAATATAAACTCTTATATTTTTTAAAAGTTATAATTYGTTTATTCGAGGCTATATAAACGCGACGATTTGAATCCGATTCCTGGCAGCACGTCTCTAAAATGTGAATTTTGGAAAATCCTTTCTTGGCGTACAATTACATTATGATACGAAGGTACTATTAAAATATCAAGTACCTAGGTATCATAGTGATAGTTTCGGTTCAACTTTGATCAGTTAGTCAGTCAATCAGCCTAATGGTTAGTTCAATCATACATATGAATTATATATAAAGATAATTGTAGTCGCAACTGGAACTATTATTTTTTATTATTAATTTGCTACTTATATATTTACTAAGATACATCAACACGATGATATATGTAGAAACATGATATKATATCCTATTATTACTGTACTGTATAGTTTTATATACTCATCAAATAATAAAACAATAAATMTTATTTCAAATCGTATTATATAGTACTAAATTAATAGTTATGTAATAATTAAGTATAGTAGTTACATTAGATTATTTAGTATCCTCGATACTCTTAAACACTCTCATTAGAAAATATTAGAATTTTAAAATACGATCCTAAATTATAGTAACCTACCTTCTTAGAAATTTGAAAAATATCAGAATTTTAATGAGTGCATATATAATAGAAATTAATGACATAGGTATTCAATCCGTGGAAATGTTGTAATTTAACTATTAAAGTCTTCAAGTAATTTCATCTAACTCTGATTAAATTAACTAAATTGGGACCATATTAGTTGATGCTTACTTAATATTATTTTAGAAGTTATTCAAAATTATATATGTAATGCTTTTTCATTAGAAAATGATGTTGTAAAAATTTTGAGCTTTTGTACTAGCAACTAGTATACTCGTATTGTTAAATTATAACTTTTATATTTGTTTATTTGAGGTACTACTTTATTTAAATAAAATAATTTATTGTAAATACATATTATCATTAATTGATAGGTACTATGTATAATTTAGATTTGACTGATTTAGGACTGCGTGTGGTAGTACGAAAAATTGGATATTTTAGGGAMTGCTATATTTAAATATAATATCACTATATCAGTTAGTTGTATAGTACCTAAATCAGTTATTCCGAATTTTAACCACATATTAATTAGTAATTTTATATAAGTGAATAAAATAAATTAATATTACATAATAATTAATACACAAATAATAGTCTGTATTAGATAATTTATATTTTTTTAATGTATGTATTGTCTAAGACTAATAGCACTTAAGTAATTTGAATTTTTTGGTACGCAGTTTCATATTATATTGCATTAAAAYCATTWYCTACCTACTTATTAGGTACTTCAGAACYGTGATGTCTTTTTCGATTTAACTGTTGATCCAACGGTAGTGTTTGGTTCRTTTTTATTGTTTTCGTCAAAGTATGACATGTACTTTTGATTAATATCGCTCAACTTGTTTTTAAACAATTCATACATACATTTATTATCGTTATATCGCTTATTATCWATTTTCTTGTTAGATATATTATTGTAGCATAAATCGTTGGGGTTATTTTTTTCATGATTTTGATTATTATTTCTACTACAGCATGTTTTGATGTCATTTACATCAAAAGAAATTTTGTCTCCACCTGTGCCTTTACATTTTGTATGTTTTTCGGTACATGACATATGCAATTGTTGCATTTTCCCGCATTTTCTACTACCGTCATTTTTGCTATGATTGGATAGTGTTTCTATTAGTTCAGGTATTGATTGTTTTTCGCAAACACAAATGTATGAATAGTTACATTCTGATTGTACGTCACTTTTAGCTTTGCACAAAATATCCTCGATTTCTCTTAAAAGATTGCTTATTTTATTTAGTCTAGCTTTTATTTCTTTTGATACTTGTTCAGTGTTCATCGTTATAGGTCTAAAAACTTAACTTCAAAATTGGTATAATTGTTTATAAAAATTTAATTTCAAACGTATTAGTAATATTATTTTGTATTTCGTTTATTAAGCCCTACACTAAGTGTRTACATTTAACAAAAAGAATTTCATAAATTACTTGTGTTTTAATAAATTAATATAAAATGAAAATTATACCTATTTAATATTTGTTTTGTTTATGCGAGATCAACATATTAGGTTAAGTATGTTATGTGTGGCCACTTATTATAATTTTCAGGTGTCAAATGTCTAAAGAAATTGTAGGTTTATATTTAGGTTCAGGACTCGTATTTATAATTATTGTATAAGTGTGTCTATATGACCAAAAATTAATTTAATGCAACATTAATCGTGATTTTTATTATGTATTGTGTATTATATAGAATATCGTAAAATTATATGAAGACTAAAGAGTAGTAGATAATATCAGTTTATATCACAAAATATATAATATATTTATTTTGATTATTAGTTTTCTCTATTGGCAACTAATAAATGTGTAATATATATTATGCATAATATTATATTAAATTATGCAATTGCAATACGATTTGACTTGTATAAAGTTGCGTGATGTAAATAAATGTSATGTATATAAAAAACAACCACATCAAAAACGGATATTATCTTATATTACTGCAGTGAAGTACTAAATTATAATAATGATAATAATATAATTGTTTTTTATATTATTATTGAGMGTGAAAATCGTACATTTTTTTCAATCGATTGGAAACAATTTTACCATATTATAAACACCAATAGCTTTTAAAAAATAAATATATAATATGTATCAGTTATATTGCATATATTTTTATTTGATCATTACAATATAACTATTATTTGGTATAGGTAACGACTCTATACGAGGTAATTTAGGTAATTGCCATAACCCAGCTGTGTACTCAGGATCGGTTAGTTGGCTTAAGTAAACACGGCACCTCTGTCCGTGGGAACTGTCGTTGAAAAGGCAAAATTAACACGTTTTCGCTGTTCATCTTTAAATAATAATAATACTTTTTACGACGTTTCAGGCAAATATTGATTTCCAGTTTGCTGACATTGAACAAACGTCAGATAAGTCGGTCTTCAACACCAAAGAAACGTTTCCGCTGTATTATATTTGAAGTTTTCTTTTCGTGTTATAATAGGTTAAGCCTTGAAATAACTGAATAAACGTATCTTCATAAATAACAAACAAAACAATGCAACTGTGTTTAAAATTGAAATGATACAGTTTTTATAATAAAAATAATATAATGTTAATCGTAATTGTTATTTTATTTTGTATTGTACAGCATCTTTCAAATATTCACCCATTTATGCTCTACATTAGATGATTAATKTTTAATTCAATCTTAAACAATTAAATGTACTATATAACTATAAATAATTAATTCCAAATTTAAATAGTTACATGACATTTTCGATGTATCTAAAAACCGTACACTTTATAACGGATTTAAAACTTAAAAATGTTTTATTTATTATTTAATTTCATTAAGAAAAAAAAATGATTTTGCCAGTTTGTATATGGTAATAAAATATTGCAATTCGAAACAAAATATAGAGCATCTATCAAACTTTTTAGCAAACTTGTTAAACATTTTTGACGTTTATAAATAATAAATTATAATATGGTCACAAATCACAATAATATATAACTAAATACTGAATGGTCGTATAATATGTAGTGTCGTAGTAGTTAGGTAGTTATATTTATATAATACTAATAATAATAACAATACAAGTTATAGTATTATAAGTATAAGTGTATAACACTGTAACTATAATCTATTATAGTATTAAAAATGGTTCTATAAACTTTATTAAACACAGAGTGAGTAATGATATAATTAATAATAATAGTAATAAATGATATATAATTATAATAAGTACTAACTAAAAAACTACATAATAATAACATTATGATTGGTGATTATTAATATTAAGTAACAAGATCAACGTACAGTCGACCAAGTTTTTAATTTTTAAGTGCTGTTAAAGTGCAGATGATGGACATGTGGTAACATTGAATTATTATGAATGTTCGTTGATTTTATTAAGACCTATAATACATTTTCAAAATTTTCGACAATTTTATCATACTATGATCTTTTTTAATTTGGAATTGACTATGTAAATATTGTAAATATTCGTTCCTTATGGTTCATTAGCTATCTAGCAAATAGTTATGTATAATAACATACTTTGAAATTAGCTCATTCTCAAAGTAATTTATTTTTAAATAGTTTAACTTTTTTTAGTACATGTATAAATTCGTCGCGATATATAAAACCTTAGCCTAAACCTGGCTTATTTACTTTTCGTCGTGTCGTGCTTGTGCGGGACTTAGACGGCGGCACATAGGAGGTCTCATAATATGATATAATATTATACGTGACAAATGGCTGCCAAACTGGTCTCGCTTGTGTATTATTATTATTATACACGTTATATCCACCGGAGACTGCATTCCGACCGGGTCCGCGAATAATAATAATATGTATCCCGTATGTGTGCAAGTGTCTTTGTGTGTGTACGAAATGTGTCATGTGATGTGATATTGTGATGTGT